AGAGAGATAGATAGATAGAGAGAGATAGAGAGATAGATAGAGAGAGAGAGAGAGAGAGACAGAGACAGAGAGAGGGTGAAATGTATTTTCCAATTAAATTTTCAACTTCCAAAGGCGAATGCAATTACGGCGGACGCGTGACCGACGAGTGGGACAGACGCACTCTGAATACGATTCTGGCCAAGTATTACCACGAGGGCGTAATTGCGAGCGACGAGGATGATGAATCCAAGTATTTCTTTGACTCGACTAGGGCTTACTATGTGCCCCAGGTGAATAACTACGCCGAGTTTTTGGATTACGTCAGAACGCTGCCGATGGTAACCAAGCCCAACATTTTTGGCATGGCTGAGAACGCGGACATAATCAAGGATCAGCAGGAGACCGACTTGATGCTGTCCTCGATACTCCTCACGCAAGTGTGTAATTCTTTTCCGATTACGTTCTCCATCCCTTAGTCCTATACACATGCGCCGCTGTTAATACCGCAAAGCGGATGTAAGCGACATACGCGATTCCACTCGTCCCGGAATCCCAGATAAGCTTCTTTAGCGTGCAGATATGTAATTATCGATTGAGCCGCGATACAGTGGAAGATTAGCATAGAGCCAACTGGAATATTCGAGGACATTGTAACTGGCTGGATTAAGCTCAAATATCCAATCGACCCAATCAATAAATTGCTTAATGAGATTAACAGGTCGATAGAAGACCCTATTAGTATGCATTGTTGTCGATACTTTTAACGAATGATCGAAGCTAACTTTAAGCCAATTGATCAAAGTAATGCAGTTAAATAACATCGTAAAATGTCCGATTTTAAATTGAAGTCATGTGTCATGTGTCATTTCACTTTATACGGTAATTTTTCTCTTGGAATATGCATTCGTCGTGAACAAACGTCGTCTATACTTATCAATGTTGAATATTTTAAAGTTTGTTTTTTTTTTTTTTTTTTTTTTTTTTTTTTTTTTCTTTTTATTACATAAGTTAGACTTTCGTTGAGCTACAAAATTGTTAATATTATATGTAAATATGAATATTGGTTAATGCCAATGAAATCAACGCGCGCACACGCACACAAAATTCTACGTATATAACTAAAATATTTGCCAACAAATATTGAGATATAAATATAATTTAATTTCAAAGAGTTTTGAAGATATTTCTGTTATTTAGGATACCGGAACATCAGATTCCGAATGCGATAGATCCACGGACGATGTTGTCTATTCGATATCTGCTGATATTCTCTCAAAGCTACCTAATGACTTTGATTTGAATACGGCCCTTGAGAAATATCCGACTTCCTATAAGCAAAGCATGAATACAGTTTTAGTGCAAGAAATGGGAAGATTCAATAAGCTCTTACAAACAATCAGGACTAGTTTAATAAATATACAAAAAGCTATTAAAGGTCTGTATATACAAATTGATTTTGGACATAAATTTCATATATCGATTATTTTTTAACAAAATTCAAGCATTTAATAAGTGGATAAGTTGCGAGATAAAATTTTTGTTTCGTGCCAAGGATAATGCATATATACAAATTATCGAATAAATATAATATCAATACTCATTGTCGACCCAATCAATGATATATTGTAAAATAATGATAGTACGACTGGTAGAAATGCTTAGCTCGAGGAAGCTTAGCTTCTTCGTCCTTCCGTATTTTTACTTTCAATTTAGATTTTCAATCATATTTTTATAATACCATTCCGTCGATTGTAGGTCTCATTGTTATGGACAACGAACTCGATGAAATTTTCATATCAATAATTATGGGTAAAGTACCAAGACTTTGGCATCAGGTTTCCTATCCTTCGCTCAAGCCTCTTGGAAGTTACGTTCTTGACTTTTTACGTCGACTGAACTTCCTGCAGGTATGTCATCAAGGTTAATTCGCATAATTAATTAATTAACCTTGACCATTGCTCTCGATCATGCATATATGTATATTTTATATTGTCGTGTTGTCGAAGGAATGGTTCGAAAATGGTCCACCCGCGGCATTCTGGCTCTCTGGATTTTACTTCACACAAGCGTTTTTAACCGGAGCTAAGCAAAACTACTCGCGTAAATATTCCATTCCAATCGATCTGCTGATCTACGACTTTATACCACTCAAGGATACAACGTTCTCGAAACAGCCGGAGGACGGAGTTTACGTTTATGGTCTCTTCCTCGACGGTGCTCGATTTAATATGGATACAATGCTGCTCGACGAGTCTCTACCCAAAGTACTCTACGACGATATGCCTTATGTAAAGTACATTTCAAATCACTTTATATTCTTATAACGATGACAAAATGAAAACTTTCTTTCGCTACTTTTCCTTCTAAATATTTACTTCTGGCTAGCCAAAACTTTACATTTCTTTTAAAGTATCACTGAGATGGAATGATTCTTTTAATACTTTACGACTTCTCGTCCTTTCGAACGTTTCCGGTTCTTTGCTCATACGTACAATTATAATTAGCCGAGTAAACTATTTGATTCGTCTCCTTTATTAAATATTCGTTATTTTCAGTATTTATGATGTAAGTACGATTATCGTTGATTAAATTAAAAATTCACTTACAAGTCGTACAAGATTACGTAAAATAAAGCAATTGAAGTACAAATGACAATAGAGTTTTCAATAATGTTTTGAACTTTAAATAATCATTGATCGAGAATTTAATCGACGCTCGAAACGATTTATATTACATTATCATTATCATTATTATTATTATTATTATTATTATCATTATTATTATTATTGTTGTTATTATTATTATTATCATTATTATTATTGTTGTTATTATTATTATTATCATTATTATTATTGTTGTTATTATTATTATTATTATTATTGCAAACTCTCGAGAGAATCATCGTATAAACTGTAATAAATCGAAAAGAAAAAGAATATAAAACAATTTGAATTTTATCGAACGTGATACCGTCTAATAAGAAGATATTGTTATTAATGAAACATTTTTACATTAAATTAAGGTAAGAAAAGCCTAAAGTCTCACCAACAATATTATCATATAGTTTCGCTAAAATTCTATCATTTAATCTAATAATTTAATAAAGTCATTGTTAATAAATATTCTGTATTGTTGGTTTCTTATACAATTAATTTTAAAGCTCAATCGTTTTAATTGCGTAAAAATAAATTTTCAAATTTACATCCGCCTATACTATATTATATACTTAAATACATAAATACTATTAAATAATGAATTTTTTATAAATGACAGCCCTATGCGAATCAATAAAATTATATAAAGTTTAGAATATGATTATAATACATTGTCTGACCAAAATGAAGCAATTAACATTTAACATTACAAAAATTACAGTTCGGTAATTGTAACATTATCGAAGCAAATTAAATAGTATATATAACAATCTTATTGTCTTTGTTTTAACCAATTAAAAATCCTAAACATTGTCTTTCCAGCTCCTCCACCCCGCCCACTACTCTCTACTACTGTCTCCACCTCCCCCCCCCCCCCCCCCCCCCCCAACCCCCCCCCCCCCTCAATTTATCCTTTAATTTGAAATTTGCATTTGAAATGGTATTTACTTACATGTACAATAGTACAAAAATATAATTTAGTTTGAGGAAAGAAATAAAAGTCCCTTGGCTCGCATACATCATTCGGCTATACATATTTCAGCGTCAGAGTACCCTCAAATAAATAACATTCTATGATGTTCAATGTTCTACGATCGTGATAATTTTTCCTACGTTTGATTTAAAAAGAAAAAAAATGAAAATTCTCAAAAGCGAATGAACGATCATGAGCTTCGAAGGATTATCCTCCTGATCTCGAAATTTAGCTCACATACGAGTTACAATAGGCACCACGGTGCCCCCCTCGCCCCGCGCCCCGCGCCCCGCGCTCCTCGCCCCTCGCCCCTCGCCCCTCGCCACTCGCCACGCCATCCCCCTCGCCACGCTACCCCGCCACACCGCCACACCGCCCGCCAATCGAGGAATATCGTAGACTTGACTACTTGATTTATTTGACAGTTGTGGCTGGTGCCGCTAATAAAGGAGGACCTGCGGGAGCGGCCCTCCTACATCTGCCCGGTGTACAAAACGAGCGAAAGGCGCGGCGTGCTCTCGACAACGGGTCACTCGACCAACTTCGTCATCGCCATGCTTTTACCAACAGACAAGCCGGCCGAGCACTGGATACAACGAGGCGTTGCCATGCTCTGCCAGTTGTCGCAATGATCATCGGCGCCTATTTTATCGACTCTCTCAACGACGGGAGATACGCGAGCGCCTCTTTCTCTCTCGCGCGCTTACGGGAACCGATGGCAAATCAAGGTATTCTCAGGCCTTTTAATGTGATTAAGCCCATTCTATTATCACATACACGGCAAATACTTCCTCCCCGAATGTTTAGTTGGTACTATCTTCGACAATCTTCTATATATCATATTGAAATTCTCGTTTATTTTATAGCTACCGTATAAGGCTAATCGTATCGCAATTATGCTTGTCGCACTGATCGAGACGCTACAAATTAAGAAAACAAAAAAAAAAAAAAATATTTGGAAAAATACAAAAAAAGCCTGATTGAAAGTAAAAAGAACTTTGTGACTTATTTCGAAAACCTTTCTACACGCTGCTTACCTGCTAATTCAATGTCATATGCAATTTCAAAGAATTCGGTAGGCTTGGCCGCTAAAATGCCAATTTACTCATTGATTTTACTTTTATATTAATACATCTACGTCATCGGTGCATAAGTGAGTTAATATTAATATGAAATTTATTATATGTTTATTATCATTGATCTCATTTGCATAAGCATTGAATTTTCAAAAGCCTTGAGATGTTAAATAATACTTTCATGCTTTAATCCTAATTAGTTATCATAACACATTAACATTAAAACATTAGATTAATGCCAATCGTAATCGATTGTTTCTTTTTTCTAATTTATTTACTTTAATGTAATTTATCATTAACACATTAAGAATTTCATGTTTTTTTTTTTTCTTTCTTTTTTTTTTCTTTTTTTTTTTATTTCCTTTTGTTTTCTTTTACCAAAACATTTATCCTCATTGAAATCGTTAATTAATATTACTTACGTAATTTAATAATAAATAAGCTCTCTTTGTGTTTAAAAATCAAGATGAAAATTAGTTTGACGAGTTACAAATATAATAATAGAACAAACTACCTTAACAAAAAATTTAATATAAATCCATTATAATCAAAGAATTATAAAATAATATCGAACGGTAAGAACGTATTGACCGTAAAGATTTTACAACATCATTTTATTAAGCTATTCGTATTTAGAATTGTATACACTCTTTTATTGGACAAATAAAAATTTCGATCGCGTGCCTATTCAGAAAAGGCAGTAGGTAAGACAATTTAACAATAACCATTAGTAATTATTTATGTAGGATTTGAAATTTTTGTTTCACATTTCTCTCTAACAATCTCCGGCAAACTATTGGCAGCGGCAAATTCAACAATGCCGAACAGTTGCGGAAGCACGTTTATTATTTAATCAAATTTACATTTTTCGCTAAAATATTCTACAACCTCCTACACCGAGTAAACTCATAATTCACAGTGCTAATTGGTTTAAATCACTATTTTGTATTTGTTAAAATAAAAAACTATGCTTATAGCGAAAAATTGTCTGTTAAATAAATTTCTTGTAATACATATAACACACAATCATAGAAAAACAAGAATAACAGATTGCGAGGAATCAGCCTTTGGTTGGGCTCCAAAACGACAAAAATATGCCTACACAATGAAAGAAAGCCACGTAAGAAAAGAAAGAAAGACCAGCGAAAGAGAGACGAGCTCTCACGCACGCATTCACTTCCTCGCGAATAAGAACAAAAAGACGAGTGTAAACGACACAAGGAAAATCTCATCCGTTGTCGCAGTGGAATTCAGAATATTTGGAAGGACTTGACTTTTGGAGAGATTGTGAGAAAGTTGGTGGGCAAATGGAGAAGGGGGCGAGGAGTGAAGAGTATGAGTGGTATTATAGAAAGAGATAGAAAGAGAAAAGAATCGACACAGAGAAATAGAGTAGATACACCCGCAGTGTATACATGTGTAGCCGTAGGTGCAAACAGAGAACGGCGATGATGATAGATGCTTACGGCTACATATATATATATATATATATATATTTATATATTTCGTTTTTGTATTGTTTTACACACGCATGCACCAATATAAACGTACGCATGTAAGCGCATATGCGTAGATATAACAAAAATAAGCATACATTTGTGTTTATGTGTGTGGACAGGGGAGGCGCAAGCAATTTATTTGTACCCATATGTACAGACATATGCATATATATTGATGTGTGTACTTATGTATACATTAGTGCGGGCAGAAGGAGAAAAGGACGATAACGCGTTTGTGTGCGTGTGCGTGTGCGCGTGTGTGTGCGTGCGTGCGTGCGTGCGTGCGTGCGTGCGTGTGTGTGTGTGAGAAAGAGGGAGAGAGAGAGAGAGAGAGAGAGAGAGAGAGAGAGAGAGATAGAGGGAGAGTGAGTGGGTGGTAGCTTTGGGAGCTGGGTCGCTATGGCGGCACCCTGTCTACCCGGACCGATCTCGCCGGAGGCTCGTTGCTTAGCGACGTCGTATTGATCTCAGCTTTTCCCCTTTCCCACGTGACTCAGCTCGCGTCTCCCTATCCCCCCGCCAACTTGCCAACCCACAAACACAAGCAACTCCTGCGCTTTATCTCTCTCTTTCACGTACGTGCACACCCGCGCAAGCACACTAACGCACACATTCTCTCTCTCTCTCTCTCTCTCTCTCTCTCTCTCTCGCACTCGCCCTCATAATACATTTCATCTTAGGCATTCTTTCTCGCTCAAAGCATTTACACTTTTAACTCTCTTCAGTGCTTCAGTCCTCTCAGTTTCTCCGCTAGCTCGAGACTCTGGTCTATATCTTACTTCTTAATTTTCTTTATCTTTCCATTGCACTTTTTCTTTTTTCCTCGTCTCCCTTCCTCACTTTTTTCACCTCTGTCTCCGTCATTATTTCAGCTCTTTCTCTTCACGCAGCACTTTTGCAGTTCAGTTTTTTTTTTTTTTTTTTACTATGAGCATTTCATCAAATTTTTCATTTCTTAAGCTCTATCCTTATTACATTTGTCTTTATTCTCTTCTCCTTCTTTTTCTATTTTTTTTTCTTTTTTTACTTTATTCTACTTTATACTTATCTATGTGTATAATACTATTATTTAAGATATTTTTTAAAACTTCTAATGAAATTTGTATGTTAAATATCCTTGTACCGTTAACTTATTAATACAACCTAAGCCATTGATTTGGTGTTTAACAATAGCTTTTTATTATAAAGGACCAGAAAAATCTGCATTTTCCCATTAATTGTGCGACCTTACAAAAAAAAAAAAAAACATGGTTATTTAAAAGCACTTTAATGAGAAAACATTATTAAAAGAAAAAAAATAAATAATTATACTAACGAAGAGAGAAGGTTATATGTAAACGAAACATTCTGATTTTCAATAAATTTAAATATCTAACATAAATTATATATTAAAATATGACATAAATATTTAATTCTAAAATAAATGTATTGATTAACTAATTTTTAACTTAATTTCCATTTAAATGTCACTAAGAAATCAATGACAACTTTATTGATTTTATTCATGTGTGTGTATAAATTTAGTACACTTGTCATACAGCCAAATTCTTCTTTTCAATTTTTCTTTTTAAATAATATTTCCTTTTCAATATTAAATTATTCAGACAAATTTTTTTAACAGCATATAAAATAATTAATTTAATAATACTTCTATCATTTTTAATATCATTTATTTCGTTTATTATTCAAAATTTTTTCCTTTCAATAATTAATGACCTCTTCTTTACAATATAAAATATTTATATTTTCTATTTTTATATCTTGTAACTTAATAATAAAATATTTTCAATGCTTTTACGTTATTTAGTCTCGTCTGCTATTTTTGGTTTTAATTTATTATAATAAACTTTTATAATAACATATTCAATCGAATATTCATATCCATGATAAATTTACATACGGGGTAAATTGATTTTTATATTATACCATAAATAAATTACTGTTTTGATCAATCTATTGTCCATTTAAAATAATCATATTAAAAATATTAAAATAGAATTATTATGTTGAATAATTGAAATATAAAATTATTATTAATTTATCGGTTACTTTCTTGGATCATTGATTTGCTTAAAAATATATTCATTAGAGATGATTATACCGTAAATTAATAAATTTTTAATTATATTTAAAATATACATATGAGTAGGAAAATAATTATAAGGTCCAAATAACGACAATAATATTAATGATAACAATTGCCAAATTAAAACTTATTAATCTGAATAATTCAATTATATATACATAAATAATAAATTTAAAATGTTAATCTTAATATACATTCGATAAAATTAAAATTAAATTAGACTAAAAGAACACGAAACATCGAACAAATGTAATAAAATTAAACTTGGGTACATATCATCATATAAATTATGGAAATTCTTCAAAATAAATAAGTTAAATAACTTTCGAGGCGCAATGACATCGAATGTAAATGATAAAAAACATTTTTCAATGTCTGATTGATTTTTGCTGCCTTATAAATTGCATTTATGAATATGACAATGTAATTAAATTATGTAATTAAAGGTTCTAAAGTTTTTACGTGTATTGTGAAAGTAAAATATTTAATTCATTTAAGCCTATTTACGTATATATCTCTTATCATTTAAATAATCATAGAAATACATATGAACAATATATATTAACATTATTCTCAATATTAATTATTAACTTTGAATAAATAGTTATGATCGATGATTACAGTCTCATTGTAAATGCATATAAACGTAGAAGTATACATTTATTTCGTTATAGAATTGCAAATTATCTCACTATTCTCAAAGTTGAAATTTAAATTAACTTTCATTTAAATATAATAGAATGCAGTCTAGTATTTATCTAATTTCCATTAAAATGTATTGAAAAATAATTAAGACTATTATTTTATTTATTTTCTATTTAATGCAAATGTCGTAAATTACTTTTAATAAGCCTCTAATAATAATGAAATAATGTTTCGTTTAAAGTAAACAAAATTGTATCCAGCGAATTTCTTTATGTAAATGTTTCCACATTTTGTAGTCAAAATAAACGAAAAAGCATTTCATTTTACACGATTTTCAATACGATCAATACATTTGAGTTTATTTATTCTGAATGAAAAACTCATG